GAAGTTCTTTAATCAAGCGGAATTAGATAATTAGAGGGTATCTACCCATTGACTGGCTGGGCACTCATGCATGCCTTTGGTGGCCCTTGAAAAGCAAGATACTTTCAGAGGAGTGAGTCAAGGATTCAATGCAGAAGACATCTTTGAGGGAATGAACTCAGACAACTGAGAAGAGAACCAACCAAAGAAGAATCCAGATTTTGAAAGGGAATTATTCCCTGGCCTTTCTTCCCCACCCCCATCATTGGTCATGGTATCTTACAGAAGAGCTGCTCACCCAATAGGATCTATATATCTATAGATAGATATATCTAGCAGGGTCCAGACTAAGGGAGCCCAGTAGAGGAACATACTCGGCAGAGAAGATGCATCCAAAGGGAATAGTATGAGAATACCAAAAGAAGAGAAAGGACATTGGGCCCTTCATAATTCCAGGTATGAGCTCTTTGGAGGGATGAGTTCCCTTGGCCACGTATAGGCCCTACGTATCTCTACTAGGAAACCATATGTGAATGCCACTCTTCCCACTGACATCATGGGTAGTTGAGACAGTGCACCACAGATTTGAGATGAATGACTTTTTTTTTTTTTACTACTGTTTGTGTCATATCATTTTAGTCAAGTGCCTTTGCTTTGAACTAATTGAGTCCTTTGGCTACTTAAGGTAAATATACTGTTGAAGGCTATGGACTACAGTTTTTTTAAATGATATTTTATTTTATATATAAATATATATATATATATTTTATTATATAAAATCAGAAAAAATCCCTCTTCACTCCATCCCACCTCAGCCTCCTATCCTCATACACAAATTGAGAAAAAAAAGAAAAGCAAAACCACTGTTACAAACATGTATAGTCAAGCAAAACAAATTTCCACATGGACCATGTCCAAAGAAAATATGTCTCGTTTACCTCTCTATCAAGATGTGGGTAGCATATTTCATCATTAGTTCTCTGGAATCACTGTTGGTGTTTATACTGATTACAGTTGCTAATTCTTTCAAAGTTGTTTGTCTTTACCATATTACTGTCACTGTTTTCTCATTCTGTTCACTTTCCTATGTATTAGTTCATATAAGTTTTCCCAGGTTTGTCTAAAATCATCTCTTTCATCATTTCTTACAAGACAATAATGTTCCATCACGTTTATATAACACAACTTGTTAAGTCATTCCCCAGTTTATGGGCACTCCCCTCATATTCCCATTTTTCATGACCTCAAAAAAGAAGTATAGATATATTTGCACATCCTTAAGAATATATTTTGCTTAAGATTAATTCCTCCCTTAAAGTACCCTACCACTAATTCTTCCTTCTTCCACTTATCTGTTGAGTCAGATGTATTTTTGTACCCAAGTGTATATGTGAGTATTCTCCTCTTCTTTTACCAAATCAAATGTCAGCTGATCCCTCCATCACCCTCTTCTCCTTGTTTGTATAAATGTCTACTCACACACCTGGATTAGGTGAGTTAGTTTTCCTTAACTTTCCTTTCCCTTTGCCCTCTAGTATACTCCTCTTCCCTTCTCTTTACATTCTTTTCTTAAGATCATCAGGACAGAATAGAATGGAATAGAACTACTCCTAGATCTTCTAATTAAATTTCATTTATGATCCCTGATGGAGCTCTGTGGAGACACATGCATTTATCTCTCCATATTAGAATGTAAGCAGTTTGTCCTTGTTTAGTCCTTTATCATTGTCTACTTGTGTTTATCTTTTTGTTTTTCTTAATTCATGTTTTTAAACTTTTAATTTTCTATACATCTCTTTATCAGGAATGGAAGTCCTCTCTTTCAAGAAAGGTTCATTTTCCACCCTTTAAGATTATGTTCAGTTTTTCTGGATAAGTTATTCTTGGCTGTAAGCCTGTATCCTTCACCTTCTTGAATACAGTATTCCAAGCTCTCTGCTACTTTATTGAGATGGCTGCTAAATCACTGTAGCTTCTTGGTATTTGAAGTCTTTCTTTGTGGCTGCTTATAACATTTTTTTCTTGGACCTGGAAGCTCTGGATTTGGGCTATAATGTTCCTGGAAGTTTTCATGGCTTCTCTCAGGAAGTGACTTAGGGATTCTTTCCGTGTTCTACCTTCTGGTTCTGAGATAACTGGGTAGTTTTCTTTTAAGATTTCTTAAAATATGTCTAGGCTCTTCTTCTACCCATGGCATGTAGAGAGTCCAATGATTACTAGTTCTCCTTGATCTGTTTTCTAGGTCAATTGTTTTTGCTATAAGATAACCTTGTATTTCCTTCTTTCTTTTCCCCAATCTTTCCACTGTTTTAATATCTGCTATCATCTCATGGAGTCATATTTGGTCCGATCTAATATTCAAGGAGTTTGTTGCTTGGGCAAAGTTTTATACTTCTTAGGCCAAGCTGTTAATTGTCTTTCCAATTTTTTTTATAGCTCTCATGTATTTTCCAGTTTTTTTTCCTCTAGCACTCTCACTTCATTGACAAAAACATTTTTATCTCTTTTTAAAAAATCTTGCTTCATCTCTTCCAGGAATTCTAGTTGAATTGGTGCCCAAGCTTTGTTTTTCTTTAAGGCTTTGCATGCAGATGTTCTGGAGTCATTCTTTTATTCTGGGTTTGTGTCTTAAGCATTCTTGTCACTATTATAGCTTTTTATGGTGAAATTCCTTTTTTGTTTATTCATTCTTTCAGCCTGAAAGTCTTTTTCACTTTAGACCTGATGTTAGGACCAGGCTCTGTGTACATCTGGAGGGAATGTCTGGGCTAGTCCTATTGCTGCTTTCTTGTTGTCCTGAGTATTCTGGGGTTTTTTGGGAATCTCAGGGGATTGTTCAGATTGGAGATTGACCTACAAGCTTTCGATACTCCCAAAATGTTCTGATCTGAGGTAAGATCTGATTGCTATCCGTCTGGTCTGAGCTCTGCTAGTTTCTGACCTGGGTTTGGGTCTGAGCAAGGATAGACTGCTGCTGGGATCTGCCTTTCTTAGTCAGCCAGAAAGCTTTGCTAGTTCAGTGACAGAAGTGCAGGTTCCCCTTTGGTCTAGAACTCTTGCCCTGGTAATTCCTCTGCAGGGCAGAGCTACACTACTGCTGCTTGCTTCTCAGCTTGCTTCTTTCTCAGTAGAGTACCAGGGGCCTCCCTCCTTGGGAATGCTACCATCAGAGGTTGACCCCTCTCAATAGTAGTTTGCCCTGGATCTGTGACCTGGAACTGGGTAGTGGGTTACAAAGCTGCCAGTTGGCACTTGGCCCCTGTTGAAGTACTAAGTGTGAGTCTGGAGATGTTCTGGTAAAGGTCTGGGACCTCTGTTCTGATGAACAGCTTTTCTCTGTTCTAGAATGCTCCCCAGATGATGCTTCTGGCCAGATTCTCTCCTCGGTGTACAGAGACCTTTCTCTCTCTTTCCCTGTGCTGACTAGGACTAGAAAAATGACTCACTGTGACTATCTAGGATTTGGGTTTTTTACTTTATATGTCTGACTATATTTTCACTACTTAAATGCCTCTGTACCAATTTTAGCTGCTCTGGTGAATTTTTCTCTTCAAACCAGTTATATATTTATCTTTCATGAAGGAATAGCATTTTACTTTTTAAAAAATTAAATATAATAAATTTAATAATTTTAAACATAACCATTCTATAATTAAAAGAACAAAAATAAAGTTATAGTGGGTTTTCTTGAAAATCAGCTCATTACATTTTACCAAAATGAATGATGAGAAATATAAAATGTTATGGTGTTCTTACACAAAGATGGCTTAACTTTATGTTTACACACTTCACCTTCAATTCCTGGAAACCTATAACAATTTATCTGAGTTATAAACCTATACAAACTGACTTCCTTCTTTCAAGGAAGGTTCCTCTCCAAAAAAGGCAGCTAGATTGGTAGATGAGAAATCCAAAAGGAAAAAGCTTTACAGACACTAAGGTAAATTTCCCAAACAATTGTTTTTATAAAAAAAATTAAAATTTGAAACACATTGATTGATGTTTGACCTTGTATTAAATAATCTCTGGATTGCATTCATTGTCAGGTGGAATATATCATGTTTTTGTTGATTTTTGAGGTGAGTTTTGTTTTCACTGAAAGAAGTGGATGCGTTTATTTGTGAACTGTGCTTTAAAATATCCAATAATTTTGGCCTTTGCTTCATTCCCACTTTGAAAGGGTCTCACATCCCAGTCTAGAGAGCTCTGCTTAGGAGGTACAGACTTTGTCATCTATCATCAGGCCACTCTTATAAAGACCTGGTTTTTGTTTTTGTTTTTTTAATTTGCCTATTTGTATTTTTTTTTTCTTTTAGCATTTCAGTTTCTAGAGGTGGCTTTAGAGGGAGCAAAGAATGCACATTCTGAAAAGCACATAGCACCAGTAGATATCAAGTTTTAAGGTTATTTTGTGACTTGAAGTACAACCAAGGTCCTAATAAAGTCCTAGCATGTGGGTTGGAGGGTAGAGGAATATTCCACTGACACACAAGATTCCGAGCCTTTGGTACATGGAGAAAAGTGATGTAAGTTGCCTTGAGCTCTAACAATGATTCACCTTTCCTTTCTTGGTAGGACCTAAAAGAAGTCTATTATATTGATGGCAGTGTGGTGTGATGGGAGGAGCACTGGATTGCAATTGGGAAGCCTTCTGTTCAAATTGTGGCTCACTGAAGTACTACCTTCATGACTTGGGCATGTCCTTCACTGCCCTGGGTCTGTCTCCTCATCTGCAAAATGAAAGGCTTATACTAGATGATATATAAAGTCCCTTTCTAGCTCTACATCTATGATTCCATGAAATAAATGATCTCTAAGTTTGCTTCCAGCTCTAAATCCCAGGATTCTATCATGCTGAAAAATTCAAAGAAGGAAACAAAAAGATCTCAAGTTAAAGCCAAAGTCAAACATGGTAGTGCTTTTAAATGGTAAGGAGAAATGGTACTATTAGCTAAATGCTGAAGAGTAGCATCAGGAATTCCAACCAAAGTCTTACCTATAGAATAGTATCTTTAATTTACCTGGTTTATCTTTTTTATAAACAAGGCAGACTTTCCCATTTCCATTGCAGGAATCCAGTTCAAAAATCCTATTTCTAGAGTCAAAATGTGGCTTCTCTGGGTCATCTCCATTAGCAACCAACCCTGAAATTGAAAATAACGTTGAAGGAAGATAAAACATAACATGACTTATTAAGATGCTAGGGCTAAATGCCTACACATGATTTTCCTAGGATGAAAATATCAGGAAAATAAAACACATATGTATTGAAGTTGAAAATCTTTTCAAATTTTTTTTCAAATTTCAGTCAAATGAATTCTACATATAGGAGAATATGATAGGTTTCTCCTGCTTAATGTCTTCTGTCCCTGTTTTCATAATCACAAGTAGATGGGCATAGCAGGGACAAAACGGAATGAAAATTTGGTCTTTGGGGAACTACTACATCATAGTACTACTTAAAGACATTGTCATTTAACAAATCACACTGTATCTTTTTAGCATGTTCCTAAATTACTGAGCCATGTCAGGGCACAATGTAAAAGATTCTCAAGGATGTACTGAACAGTGGGGAAAAAAGTAAGGAAAAAGTTCAAACTAATTGATGATCTGCGGTCTTTATTATGTAGGAATATAGATGGAAATGGGCCTGTGCTTTAGACCTTTCTGGTGGATCAGATGTATTTGTAGACAAACCGCTAGTAGAGAGAGAATGGAGAAATCTGCTGCAAATTCAAAGGTGAGCTGCCTTTGGCTGTGTCACCATAAAAAAGGGGTCCTCAAATGAGACCATCTATCTTCAAATGTGATAGCTGTCACGCTAGCTCTTCTTGGCACAGGCACCATTCTCTTTGATAAAGCATTATTCCTAAATGTCTGCCCCGCCCCAAAGGGACAAAGAGACCTATCAGAAGTTTCTGGTTACACACGTTCGTTAGCAAAGGTCAGAATTCATGTCACTCACAGGGTACAGATCTCTCTTCACTCTTGCTCCATGGGATGTCCTTTGCTATAATTACAATAATACGGCCACTAGGTGGCGCCATAGTGCACAGAGTGCAGGGCCTGGAGTTGGGAAGACTCCTGTTACTGAATTCAAATCTGGCCTCAGACACTTACTAGTTGTGTGACCCTAGGCACACAAATTAAGAGACTCTTAACCCTGTTTCCTCAGTTTCCTCATCTGTAAAATGAACTGGAGAAGGAAATGGCAAAACACTCTAGTACTTTTGCCAAGAAAGCTCCAAATGGGGTCACTAAGAGTCAGACATGACTCAAGCAACTAAACAACAATAATAATCATAGTAACAGCTGACAGTTATATAACACTTTAAGTTTTATGAAGTACTTTAAAATATTTTATTTCATTTGAGCCCCACAAAAGCCCTATGGTCTAAGTACTCCAGGTATTAACCCCATTTTACAGATGAGGAAACAGGTTCATCAAGATTAAGTGACTTGCTCATGTATTACAGAGCCAGGGAGTGTTTGGGGTAGAATTCAAGCTCAAGTCTCTTTTGGTCCCTTTCTTTACTATACCATACTTTTTGAAAGGAAAGAAAGGGAGATAAATAGACCTAAACAAACCAAAAAAAAAACAAAAACCCAAAACCCTCCTTGTGAATCTATATCTTTTGAAGTCTATAATGGTGGTTGTATTCGTATAGTTTATTCTTTTATAGTTTTATCCTGTTATTTCTTCATTTAAACTATTAAGTTTTTACCTTTAAACTTTCTTGGAAATTGACATGTAAAAAAGGTGTTTTTTCATAAACTTTTCCTACAACTAATAACAAAGCAACTTTTTCTGTACAAGGAAGGAAAATATCTGTTGTGGCTGGTAAGAGCTTGCTTTCATGTGCTTTTTATTTGGTTGGTTTTGAGGAGGCAATTAGTGCTAAGTGACTTGTCCAGGGTCACACAGTTACTAAGTGTCTGAAGTTGGATTTGAACTCTGGTCCTCCTGACTCCAGGGCTGGTGCTCTATTCACTTTGCCATCTACCTTCACCCTGTAATTTTGATGCCTATTTAGCCATCTGTTAAAATCCAGCTAAAATCTCACATACCAGAAATTAATTCAATAAGCATTTACTAAATCCTACTGTGTATAAGACACTGTGTTAAGCATCAGAGCTATAAATAAAAAAAATGAAACAATCTCTACTCACAAGAAAAACATTACATTTTCCTAGAGGGGATACCACATGCACACAACTAAGTAAATACAAGATAATTTGAAGAAGGAGAGAGCACAAAAAATCTTGATTGCTGAGTCTCTGGCTAGGCTTGCCATTTCATGAGAGGTCCCAGCCATGCCCACTTCACTCTCAGTTCACCTGATTCTCTGGACTGCTCCACCTCATTGGCAACCATGAGAGTAGCCCCATACGCCCTTTCCAACTCCCCTTTAGACTGTCTTCTCTTATTAGAATGTAAGACTCTTAAGCGTAGAGACCCGTCTAGTTTTCTTGTATTTATATTGCTGAGGATTATCATGATTTCTGGCATATAGCAAGCACTTAAAGAATGCTTTATCTGTCTGTATGTTTATATAGGAATCAGGAAAGCAGCACTTGAGATAACTCTTGAAGGAAATCACAGGTGAGGACAAAGTTCATTCCAGCCTCTGGGCTAGATGACACCACAAGTAATTTCCTGGAATCCTGAAGAGATCCTGTAGATGCTGAAGATGCTGAAGATAATATTTTAGTGGAGTATCAATGTGAACAGTCCCTTCAGTGGTTTAGATATTATCTATGTCCTAACATAAAGTATCTACAGAAGATTCATCCAATTCACCAAGCCTTTCATCTAGATCTTTTAAAGTCCCATGGACACCAGTGCAGCACAAGGGTTGTCCATCTGTTATCTTTCATTATGGAAACATAACTGACCTTTTCCTATCATACATTTCCACGGTATTTCTCATATCCCTTTTCACATGTAAATCATTGAGAATAAGTTAAGGCCTACCTATGCGTTCTAATAATCCTTGGGTTTCCTACAATTCTTCAGGGATTATAGTGTTCCCTAATTCACTGCCATATAGTTAGCATTATTGAAGATTTCTTTCAGCTTGTAGCTTGGGATGATTAACCATACTACCAAATCTTCCAAATACAATCTATTTTGCTCTCTTCTACCCATCTAACTTGGGTCCAGCTCAGTGTCTCTCTCCAGAATCTGTCCAAGATATATGAACTGACAGACTAATTCAATGTTAACTAATGACAGACTAACTCATCCAAATGCACATAGCCTACACAATAGGCTTTCTTCATCTACTTGGTTTTTTCCTGCACCTATTATTAGACCAAACTCTTTTTAGTGGCTGTGATTCTTATTTAGTACCTAAGAAATATATGAAACAAGCACAATGGCATCGGAAAATGAGAGCTCCTGGAGCATCTCATCCCCTAAGGAGAATTCCTTTTCCATTTGGATTCCGTGATGGGCATCCTCCAAGCAGTGGCAAACAATCTTGGTGAACACGTATCTACCTATTTTATGCTTAGCTTGATCTTGATTATTGAAGGTTCATTGAATAGAATTATCTCTATAATCTAGGAATATGGTAAGGAAACTTAGAGAAGTACCAATTTTTATAATCAATAAACAATCGAGACATCACGATCTTGTGTTCTCTATACCTCTCTATAATCATGTGACTTTAAAGATGTGGTCCATTGTTGGATTTTATTGTAAAAACCTGCTCACTTCTCATATATTTTATACAGAATGGCCTTAATTCAAGTACAGATCATTCTTCTGATAATTTTATAGAGTTGAGACAAGAGGCATATAAATAGGTAGTTTTTATTAGCTTTTTAAGGTAATGATACACTTACAATTTTTAATCTCTCTGCTTCCACCCATCCTGACTAAAAAAACTTTAGAACTCTTCTTTGTATTTACTATATTCAAATAATATAGTTATTTAGTTTCATGCTTTATCTCCCCTTCTAGATCATAAGCTTCTTGAGGGCAGGGACTTTGTCTCACTCTATCTCCATATTCCAACCAATTAGAATGGTGTTATGCTTATATGTGTACCTAATAATTGTTTATTAAACTCAATTACATGCATAGTAACCATAATAGATTAGCCACCATTAGTAAAACAAACAATATGACATTCTGAATTTATCACTTGGCTCTATCCACTATACCTTCATCCTCATCCTCCTCCAGGTCCACAAGACTTGGTGAACTGGGAAGCAAATAAACAGAGGTCAGGTGGAGTTGGTTCAATTTCATGATGCTATTAATCATCAGGCTGCCCAATGGAATGGGATAATCTGTATGAAAATTGAGAAAGGAGACTAGGGTATAGTAGGCTCTTACATGGTTACCACTGAGAGTGGAAGGTTTCTCTTTCTTTGGGTAATCAAAGCCCAACCATAGTTTCCCCATCCTGCCCTCAACAGTGTAGAGAAACCAAAATGTCTTGTTCTTCATATGTGACACTCCATCTCCTATCTTTGCGTCTCTACCCTGGTTGGCCCATACCTTGAATGTTCTTCCTTTTCACCTCGATTTCCTTCAAGATTCATTTCAAGCATCACCTTCTACATGAAGCCTTTTTTCCAATCTGCCTTTATTTATATGAATATAAAATTATTATATATATATAAAATTATTATTCTCTCTATATGCTTATATATGTATCTATAGTCTTCACCAATAGTCCCTGACTATTGGTCTTTTGTAACCCTAACATTGAACATAGTTCCTGGTACAGAGTAGGTGCTTAATCACTGCTTATTGATTGATGGTTTGGTGCTAGCGCTAAGAGCTATGCCTCTGGCAAACAACAAAGAGAAAAAGGTGGTCATCTTTTACACCAAGGATGCCCACTGCAGCAAGCAGACAAATGCTAGCATGCCACTCAGACAGAGAAATGTGAGGCCCTGAGATGACGAAAATTCCTACCTGTGTGTGGGATAGCTTTATGCTTTGGCTAGGATACAGAAGCATATGCAATTTCTATTAAATGGTTCTATGGTAAGAGTTAAGAGTTAATAAGGAATAGGGATAAGCGATCTGAATATTGCTGCCAGGAGAAACAGGAAGGTTATAGCTCCCAGCTTAAATGATAGATTAAAAAACAGGTTTTCCAGACAAGACAGTGGGCAGTTATTAGAATGACCTGAAACTAGTAATGATGAGTCTGGCCATTCAAAAAGTTCTGAATCTAATTGCACCATCATGTGATATATCTTTCCATCTTTTCCACAAAAATAGCATAAGATACTTTATCAACCTCTTTGATAATATCAAGGTAAATTATATTTACTATATTCCCTTGATCTAGCTCTATTACTCTGGGCAAGTCACTTAACTTCTTTGTGTATCAGTTTTCTCACCTGTAAATGGGAAAAAATACTTTACTACTAACTTCACAGGGTTATTAGGAGGAAAGTGAATTACTGTCCTTAAAATGCTAGATAAATGTGAGCTGCTATTATTATTATTATTACTTAACTTTTATTTTGTTTTATTTCTTCTGCATAAGAAAAAGGTCCTTCTTAATTTATAAAATCTATAAAGAAAAGTAAAATGAGAGGAATGTTGAGGCTGAACTAGCTGGAGGAACAAGTCAATATACCAGCCAGACAATCAAATAGCTAACTGCAGGGCCTTTGCACACCTGCCCAAGCTAGGGCCTGAGCCTTAAGCTGGTTTTTGGTTTTTTTTTTTTGGTGGATTAATATATCCCATGTGTCCCAGCTATTTACTTCTGTATATGAAGCAATGAAAAGGCAAGGCAGCTGAAAAGCCTGCAGATTGTCATAAAACAAAAATCCATTACTTGCTGTGCTGATTTCTTTGAAACACATTTTGCTGTTCACTTGTTTTTCAGTCATGTCTGACTCTTCATGACCCTATTTGGGGTTTTTATGGGCAAAGATACTGGAGAGGTCTGCCATTTCCTTCTCTAGCTCATTTTCCAGATGAAGAAAACAGGGTTGAGTGACTTGCCCAGGGTCACACAGCTAGTAAGTGTCTTGAGGCCAGACATGAATTCAGGAAGATGAGTCTTCCTGATTCCAGGTCCACCAAACTACTCACTGTGTCACCTAGCTTCCCTTTGAAACAGATAGGCAGGCCAATTATACTTAAGACCACCAGAGGGTGTTAGACCAACTCACAGTATTAGATGGTCTTAATAGTCCTAACACTTTAGTGATTATGAAAATACCATATTCTATAGATTATGAGGTTGTTTAAGGATCTCAAGCCTTTTATTTACCACTGCTTTCTATCAAGTTAACATACTCCAGAAGTAGCTACTGGTCTTTTGAGCAGGTAGAAGTTGATGTCAAGCACTGACAGAATTTTAAGGAAGCAACTGTGGTTCTCACCATCACTGGGAAACAACTCAATGTTCTAGACATTACATTATACAGAAACATTTCAAGGAGACCAATAATGCAGGTGGGGGCAAGAAGGTGTGGTAGGGAAGTGAACTTACTATCTAGTTTCACATTCCACAACATGTGGAAGCCATTTGTCATCAGGTAAAAATTCTTCAAATCCTCTGGCAGTACACAATCATTTTCCTGTAATCATAAAGCACCTGAACATTAGGCTAGGAATTGATAAAGAGAGTGGGGGAAGGGGAAAGGAAGAAAGTGGTTGTGCTTCAAACCAAAAGATTACATACCTAACTAGGAATGTCTACCACATCCTATGCCCTGAAAGTAAATGCAAACTGTCAAGTACCCCCCAAAGAGGGGGAAAAGATTTTAAACACTAGTGATAATTCACATTTATGTAGCACTCTAAAAATTTCAAAGCATTTTTCTCACAATCTTGTGAAATATAGTTAAATAATTATAGGACATATTTACAAAATACCTTACATGAGTTACATCATTTGCATGTTATTTGATTCTCATGATAACTCTCATTTTAGATGGAAGGAAATGGGACAGAGAGGTTAAGTGATTTGTCTAGGATCATATAACTTGTGGCATCTGAGGTAAGCTTTCAACCTGGGGATTCAGACTCCAAGACCAGCACTCTATCCACTACATCAACAGCTGCCTCACTGTTCAAGCTGAAGATAAAACTCCAAAAACAAGGAGTATATTCCCTGTAACAAGTTTATCACTTCATTTGGGATCATCAGACTTCTGTCAGAAGGCCCTTAAATCCAAATTTTACTAATAGTAGTTGAAGGAACCAGGGATGTTTAGCCTGAAGAAAAGAAGATTAAGGAGAGAACTACATAAGTATTTGAGGGGTCATAGTGGAAGAGAGGGAAAGTATTTATATAGGCCAGGCATTGTGTTAAGTGTTATTACAAATATCATCTCATTTGATCCTCATAGTAGCCCTGCAAAGTAGGTGCTGCTATAATCCCCTTTTTACAGTTAAGGAAATTTGGGCTTCAGGGGAAGTCTGTTAAGTCTGAGGGCCTGCATAGGTCCCTGTGGGACCTAGTACAGAGTAGGATAGTAAATTATTAGAGAGGAATATAGTGTTTACCTCACTGCAGTGAGGGCTCACTTGAGATTAGATAATATTAAATTGTTTTGGATGCAGTCAGGATAGTTTTATGATTTCCTTTAGCTTCATTCAATATCACATGAATAGGAAGAAGAGGAGGAGGAAGGAGTCCGGGTTTGGAGTTTGGCAAGTCAGGATTAATGACAGGACAAGGGAACAAGGGATTTAAGGGTAGAGTATAGTATAGAGTTAAGCTGGTTCACCAAGGGTTGGCCTGCACTGAGAGGTGGAGAAAATAGAAGCCATGAATAAAATGAAGAACAGGGTTATGAGTCATAAGGCTTAGAGAAAGACAGGATAAAAGGCTACGATCAAGTAAAGAAACATCAAAGTTTGTGATCAAAGAAGTGGCACCCTTGCCGATGATGCTAAGATCAAAGGTTATGCCCATCTTTATGTGGAGTAGATGAGTGGGTTGAGGAACTGTGAGATGAGGATGTTTAAAGGAGCATAAATATGTTTAAGTACTCTAGTAAGAGAACAGGATATGGGGAGAAAAGCCTGACTCATAGTCAGGCTCTGAACTCACTGAGAAAGGAAGGAGAATATCTTGGGGGTCAATAGATAACCACCAGGATCCAGGCCATCACTTCTTAATGTTTTTTTTTTTAATTTAAAATTTGGCAACAATAAAAGGTTTCTGAACGTGCAACAACCAAAAATTAATTCAAAATCAAGCGCATAATGAATCTGAGGCGTTTCTGGCAGAGCTTGCCCGTGTTGCACCACACAACTTCACTGCAACCTTGGTTCTGAACACAAAGCACAAGAATTTTGCACTGCGCCTGCCCTCAGCCATGCAACAAAATGTGAAAAAGGGTTGCAAGTGGATAAGTTTAAGAAGCCCTGATCTAGACCGGATGACAAATTTGGACAGAATGAACTTCAAAGGAAGAAAGGTTTCTCAGTAAAAGTGGAAGAGGGAGAATCTGGAAATGGTAATGAGGATCAATGGGTGTTCCTTGTCTCCCACTGCAACCAATGAGTCGGATACATGAAAGTGTAGCCAGCATTTGAAAGGATGGCAAGGAAAGCAGTGCCATCAGGAAGGAGTTATACCCCAGTGAGGGTCAGAAGAGTGGAGAAAGGAAGAAGTTTTAAAGTTAGAGGAAGTCTGTTGATTGCAGAGCAGGTATTCCAAAGGGCACAGTGGAAGGGGCAAAAGTTTTTTATTTCATCACGTAATAGATAATCCTTTTGCTACTTGCAAAAGACCCACCATTCTAGAAGAAATGAACTACTACCTATTCTAAGATGACAGTTCTTCTGGGTAAGAGACATATTTGGGGTAAAAGTTCAAGGAGAATTGACTAGAAAAATCGAAGAGATGACATGAGAGGTATAACCAAATAACAGGGAGCAGGAGACCCCAGTCCAAGGGAAATGGCACAAGTAGACAATCCAACAAATCTCTAAAGTGTTCCTAGCAACCAAGCTACTAGAGAAGTGAGGGATCATGTAGCACCCTCTTCCTGACCCCATGTGATTCTCTTTCCAGAAGCTCCCTTGCTGTTCAGCCATTGTCCTACCACTGCTGCCATCTCTGGTCCGAGGGTGAGGTGGGGCCTGCTCAGATGTCTCATGTTTGGGATTTTTCCCTTGCTAGTGATCATACAGAACAGTGAAATAGGAAATTTGGAATCATCAGACTTTTTCTGTTTGGCCCCCCAAAATAGTAATGAGTAGAAACTGCAGAGACAGATTTCTGTTCGATGTAAGGCAAAACTTAGTAAGTACAGCAATCTATCCAAGAATAGAACTGGTTATTTCAGAAATTAATGGGACCCCCCCCCATAGGTCTGCAGGCAAAGGCCATTTCTTGGGGATGTGGTAGAAGTGATTCTTATTCCAGTATGGATGGGACTAGATGGCCCAAGGTTACTTCCTTCTGAGATTCTGTAATTCTGTTATTGAACAAAGAATCATCAAAGTTAAGGGATCTACACTACAAATACAGAAAACATTTTAAAAAGCATGTGTATTTCTTACTGTCTCTTCCAGTTCAACATTAAACAATATAGCACAGGGAAAGAGGAGAAGCCTGAGACAAGACAAGGTTTCAAATCCTGCCTCAGACATGCACTAGCTATTTACTTAACTTCTCCAGTGCCCTAAGCAACTCTTCAAGATTATAAATTGCTAATCTGTTAAACACTTCCATTCCAGAAAATTCCGTCACTAATGGTATCATAAGTCTGACCAAAAAACCAAAAACCAATAAAAAAAAAAAAAGAACCTGGTATCAGCAGAAGGATGGAATCTCTGTATCTCCTTCCCCAGGTCCACTGGGAATGGTTAAGAAAGCAAAAGAAATACCACAGCATCTATGTCTAAATTCTTCACTTGTTGAGTTATCCTGATAGTGACAATGCCTGTTTCTCATGGAAAGTTTATCCAAAGTCATTACGTCAACTCTGAACAGTGACCTGTGTGCAGATTTACAGGGGACAACGTGTGGGAGAGGCACTGGGATTAATTAGGGTCCTAGTCTTAGCTCCTCTATTAATGTAATCTATGATGAAGAACCCCAGGGTTTTTCATAGACCAGCTTCAGTCTTGGGGACACACAGATCTCTTTGGCTTATGCCTCCATATAGGATTTTCCAAGGTAGCATCAAAATATGAATTATTTTTCCCCCACCAATGCTTCACTGGGCATCATCAGAATATACACAACATGTCTAAGTTTCTATATAGGTAGGTAAGAGGACTCTCAGTTCAAGGGTAAGCACTTTATTTTGTATCACAGAAAGAAGACAAAAAACAAAGACCAGGATCCTATAAACAATCAAGACCATGTTCTTTCCCTCTTCTTTGAGTCCCCCCTCCCCCCCCCTCCAGGGACATAACCAGTTCCCCAGACTCTCAGCTGCATCTTATGGCTTATATTTCTCAAGAAGGGAAATAAATTCGAGGCTGGCCAATAAATGACCCCACATCCTCTGTCTTCCCTAAGGACCTATGCCCTTCTCCAGAGACTCAGAGCATTACCATAAGCACTGAGACTCAACTAGAAAGAAATATTTCACTTGGAGTTAAAGAATCAATACCTAACTTTCCTTTGAGTGCCCCTCCTTCCATTTCCTCCAGGGACCTATACAGTCTTAAGGACATATGGTACTTCTTGAAGAATACAGGACCCCAAGAGGGAAATTCTGCATTTGGGGGTCACGACAGAAACAACCCTCCGTTTGGATCTGCACCATTCGAATGGGCCATGGTAGAAGTCAAGGGCAAAGACCAGATTTGTTTTTCTGAATCTCAGCTTTGTCTTTTGCCACTTCTCAACCCATAGCCCTGTGGTTGTTCGTCTTCTTTCCAGAAGGTTGGATCCAAGAATCCCCATCAGTCTAACAGAAGGTTGAGTATTGCTCCATCTCTATTTCTGCCTCTTAGGCCATGTGATTTTTACTTAAGGCTCACTCGGCTCTTCCTCTGGGAATTTTTGAGAGGTTCTGCTACTGCCTCTCTAAGGCTGTTATTTCTAAGGCTTCAAGGACTCTTAGGAAAGAGTTGCTCAGATCAGCAAATTCTCCCTTCCCGGGGACCCAGATATGTTCTCTGGCCTCTGTGCTTGCAGCTCTTCCTCTATCAGGACCTCTTGCAGATTCCTCTCGTTCTTTCTTTTAGCCAGAACTCAAGGATGCTTACTGAGATCTAGAATGCTCATACTCAATTAATCATTTTCACCAAAGTATAAATGGCTCACCAAGCCAGCATTTATAGAGCTAAGGCTGCAAAGTGTTTAAATTGTATCATTTGGTCTCAAAAACAACCCCGAGAAGTAAATGCTAATTCCTACTCTCACCAAGGTGATATGACCAAAGTCCTAAGTGAGGTGTTAATGGAGGATATTCTCACATATCAGTGGCATATAACCAAAGGCTTTATCCTTTAACTTCATCAATCCTGACCAGAACCTCTCATGATTATGTATATTCTGCCAGGGTTGGAGGATGGGGCATTAATTTCCCTAAGCATAAAATAAGTGTCAAATGACTTCCAAGACAACATCTAATTCCAAAATTTTATAGGTCTCTGACCTTAT